CATTTTAAAAGGGGATATTAGTACTTTGAACCTGGTAGAGAGATATAGGTCTCTTCCCCTCTCCCGTTGGCCAAGGGTGCTGGAGGAAATGGATAACGTGGGTCCCGTTTGGGATTCTGGCCTGGATGTAGGATAGAAATGGTGGGATATAGAAAAAGGGCTTCTCTCTGATGACTCCCTCTTTTTGGAACACCATTCCCTCAGAGATGAAGTTGGCTCCCATCTTGTTGCTTTTCCACAAGGCCTTGAAAACTGTCTGTCTGCCCATCCATCCATCCAATGTATTGGTTGGCCATCTTACCTCAAGGTAATTCTGAGCAGCTTACAGTGGCTTTGTCAGCAGGCTTGAGCCTATCAAGTTGCTTGTCTTATAGAATTATTGCCACCATGGGATGGGTGAAAAATTGTGGCTTTTTAACTGAATTTTTAATGCATTTTGCCTGGAGTCATTGTGTGTGAATTGGGCAGCTATATAAGTTTAAATAATTATTTAATAAATAGGGAAATCAAATAAGTAACATCTTTAATCCAGTTATCAGCGAAAAGTCTATGCAGAGCTCTAGGATTTTGTCAATAATCAACATATATAACACAGCATTTCACATCCAGTGGTGGGATTCTACCGGTTTGGCCTGACTGAGCGAACCGGTCGTAAAAAGCTGAACTGGCATTTCTTTTTTTCCCCTCCTGACGATCAGCTGTTCTGACGATCAGCTGTGCCGGGATCCCCCTCGCTGTCTTGCTGCTTTGCCCAGGAGGCAAAAAAAAAAAATGGAGCAGGGGGTGCTGCACAAAAAAAAGAAGCCACGCCCATCCAGGCATGTGGCCACGCCCACCTAGCCACTCCCACCTAGCCACGCCCACAGAACTGGTAGTGAAAATATTTGCATCCCCCCCTTTGTTCCCATCTTAACTCTTAATTGCAACAAAATCCATTTAAAAGTCCTGAGAGGGTCCCAGTATCCCAATGTAAATAAACCGCAACATAACCAACTATTTCTCCTTTACAAAAAGCAAGTCCAATACACCAAATTTTTCCTATTTCAAATATCTACAATTCCAGAAAAGAACCCCACCCTTAACTACAGTTGAGAGTGTCAAATACTTCTTTGTTTAAGTGCTAGAAGCTCTGCGTATGTACTAGTTGGATACCTGTGCTTCGTGACAAAACTTTGTGATCGGGCTATGAAGGAGAAATTTGGTTCAGTCAGTTGGCTCAGTGGTGGTCGGTGATTGAAACACATAAGGGAATATCGCTCCTGTCGCTTTGAGCCCGGAAGCAGTTCCATAGGTGGAAGGCATAGACATTTTGGTGAGGAACCCCTTTCCTAAGAGGTCTGTAGGCGGCGTGCATAAGCGCACCAACGTGCCTACCGTCCCTGTCCTATTGTTTCTTTTATTTTTCTTATATGTACCCATTTCATGTATTCATAACTATGTATATACTTATACCTATTATCTTGTAAACAATTGACAAATTGAAATAAATAAATAAAAATAAAAAATAAATAAAAATAAATAAGTACTGTAAGGAGCCCCAGACACTCCTGAGTGAAGGAGTGGAACGTCTGCCAGCTTGAACTGAGGTAATGGAATGTGAGGCAATTGGCAGTTGGAACAGATTTCTTTTCAGAGCGTGTTAATAATAACTTTATAGGAAATACTAATGCTCTGATGGTCATTTTGAAAAATCCTTTCTTAGTGAGCATCTAGAAGCCAAGAGGAACATACTTCCCAATTTCAAGTTTGTAGGCTTTACGGTTCTGGAGATTTTGTGATGATGCGTGAGTGGTATTTCGCTTTTATATATATATAGATAATCAGCGAACAGAAAGAAGAGACTTGTGAAATTATTTTATTCAGAGTATGATTGACATAAATCAATTATTGGTTAGTAGCAATTAAGCTTATTAGTTCACAAATATGTATTTAAATGCTAGTCTTCTTAAAGATAGCGTGAACTTTCCAGACATCTCTTACAGCAGGAGCCCCACCACTGCACCAGTGGCTGTTATCACAACTTTGGTAGCGACAGAAAGGCCTGCCATCCCTAGGGTGAAAAACAAAAATGTAACATAATTAGGAAGATGAAAAACAAATGATCAAATGTTCTACAAATGTCTGGGAAAAAAATAATTTGATGTCTTGGAAACTTAAAAGTCAGATCTTATGCAAATTGAGCTAGGAAAAATAAGCAGAAGTACTGTAAATGTATAAATAGTACATCAGTCAATAATACATCAGTCTTGTTTATTGTCCATTTAAGTACTCATGTAAATGCACCCAGGAAATAATTGTTTGCTATAGATTTGGGGATTTAGAAATATACACACGCATATACACATACAGTAAGTGCTTGATTTTCAAGGCGCTCTGAAACTTCACATTCAGCAGGATAAATGTGGCTAAACTTAGTACCTCTTAATTATTGTTATGCTTTTTTTTTCAAAGGTTTGGCACTGATACCTTGGTTTTGGATAGCTATTTGACTATCATTCAACCTTGGGCTGTGTAAAGTTCATTCTCTTGTACCCTTTTGTTGTTCTGAACACATTTTAAAATGCAAATGATTTTATGTTCACCTGTTAAAATACAGTCATATGGACATATGATCTATTCATCCTGGAGCACTGTTGATGCAGTAGGTGCTATATTTAACCCAAAATCTACTTTGCACTTCGCGATTTGATCTGTATATTCTCTGTTCCAGTATATCTTCAAGAATGCTTATCCTACAATTACATATTGTTTGGAATACTATTAATATATATTCTACATCAAAGGATTAAATGGGTAGCTGGGCAAAGAGTTTGATATTTCCAGGGTGGGGCCTTTATTCTGAGTAACTTTTTCTTGTCCTTCCACCTCCCTCCGAATGTTCATTCGATCAAGGAGAAACTGCCAATTGTTTTGTTTTCAGGAAAAAACAATAGAAAAAGTAAATGCAGGCAGATCTTTAAATACTGGGATGGAGAGAAACAATCCAATTAGGTTTAGGAGAAAACAAGAGAGAGGTATATTTGAAAATATTTGTTTAAAAGATACCCTTCTCATAAAATCAATGTAATATTTTCTGCAAGGATGTCCATTTGGCTTCAAGCGACCAGTTAGGTTGTTCTTCAAAACCAGATATACACAAAAAAAAACCCCATGCAGAGCTTCGTGTATACCAGTGTGACCCTCAATACACCCTTCAAAAACTCCTGGAAGTAATTGATTTTTGAAAGGAATGTGCTGTGAGGAATCACAAACACAAAGCCATCCTATCTCTCATTGCATCCTTTCAATAAGAACATCTGTTCTTCCAAATAAAAAGGGAACCCTGGTGCTAATGCTACAGTACAGGTAGTCCTCGACTTACAACAACTCATTTAGTGACTGTTCAAAGTTACAATGGCAATGAAAAATGTGACTTATGACCATTTATCACACTTACAGCCATTGCAAACATCTCCATGGTCACATGATTAAAAATTCAGATGCTTGGCAACTGACTCATATTTAAGACAATTCATCTTTTTGCAAGATTCTGACAAGTAACAAGAATAAGGAAATTCTTAGCTATGTTACTAACTTAACAACTGCAGTAATTCAATTAACTGGCAAAAAAGGTCATCAAATAGGGCAAAACTCACTTAACAAATGTTTCATTTAGCAACCAATTTTGGGCTCAATTGTGGTAAGTTGAGGATTCCCTGTACCAGGTATGGACAACAACCACTAGAGTTTTTGTTTACTTTTTAATGAATGAATGTATTATTTATTATTTTTATATTTTATTATCTTGTTTTTCATGTCTATGAGATGTTTGTCCCAAGCATGTTTAAAACTCAGTCAATGTCTTTTATATCCTGGTACTGCTATCAGGGCTCTGAATCTCAGTTCTTTTCCTTGGCCAAAATACTCCAAAATATTTTTGGTTTGTTTTGGTTGTTATATGAGACGTCTGGCTTTGTTTCTGCCCAATTATGGCTGGCATGGAGCAGGTTGACAGAACTCCCATAGCTCAGTCTTTTGTTCTGAGTTGTAATAGAAAACTTCCTCTGTTTTGCACAAATTGTTATTTGAAAGTTGCATACTGGAGAAGGGTGGACCTACCAAAATGGCTGGCTAGGAACCTGGGGTCTTTGGTTCTTGAACCATTTAGAGAGCCAGTGGGTTATAATAGTTAAGGTACCGAGATGGAAATTGGGGACTCTTGATTTAAATCTTTGGGCCAATCCCACCGATCAATCCATCAGTTGGCATTTTTTAGAATAGAATAGAATTCTTTATTGGCCAAGTATGATTGGACACCCAAGGATTTGTCTTGGTTTTAATTTTAGGACTTATATTAGGGTTTCCCACCATGGAACAATAAAACACTATTGTCCACTAATGCCAATTATGCAAAGTCAGCTAAGCCTCCACAAAGAGTACTTTTGGGGGGTTGGGTCACACATGGTCCTGGTAAAAAAGGTTGCCTATCCATGAGAGAAAAGGGCCTAGAGGTGGAACTCTCACCTCACAATCAGGAGACTGTGAGTTTGATCCTAGATAGAGGCAGATATTTCTCTCTCTGGGCTCAATGGGAATATATATGCTGAACAAAACTCCGCATTGGCAACAGGAAAGGCATCTGGCCATTAAATACTCTGCTAGCTCCATTCAGTTGCTCAGACGTCACCCCGCAAAGGATTATGGAGTCGTTAAAAGAAGATGATGATGCACGAGAGAAAAAGGCATGTTGTAACATTCCAGGCTGACTTTTCCTCTTATTTAAACCATCCAAAGCAATAAAATTCAGTTTCTATGTTCCTGTTGGCATCTTCCCACAAGTATATAAGTATCCCTTTTTTCAAAATCACAACTTAGGCATTTGAGGAAATGGGACAATCATCTGCAAAATGCTATGGCATAATAAATGGCTTGGCCACTACAGATTCTGCTGCAACAGCAAAAAATTGAAAAGCGATACTGACCAGCTGATTGCCCGAGGGCAACGATGCTCCCAGCAGCCACACCACGACCGTTGGCTATGGCTGCGGCTGACATCATCTTCGCTGCCAGTGACCCGGCAGCAATGCCAGCAGCTGTGAACCCCACGGCACTTAGTGCCAGTGGAGCACCCAAGACACCACCTGAAAAGCATGCTGTTAGTTACATAACTAACTAGATCTGAAGTAAATTCATATCACTTGTTCATTTACTGCATTTTTTTAGCAATTTTTCTCTCCACACCTTATTTCTCACCAGAGTCATTCAATCAGCTGCACAGTGAAAGTGAATGCATGTCTCCTTAAAGCAATCCAGCATTTTAACCAATAAATTGGCTTTCTAAATTACTTCCCCTGCCTGTATTCCCCTTGAAGTCTTAACAGAAACAGCTACAAGCTAACCCAGTAGTGGCTTTACTCACGGAAGGCAGCAAACTAATATTTCAACAAAAACGCTGCTTCTCGTTGTGCTCTGTGAACATTAACGACATGCTGACTATATCCCACTTGTGATGACCCATGGCGTGGCACAAAAGCAACAAAGTAGGTAAAGTCCCTAAAATACCTCCAACTTGGCCCATAATGTCCATTTCTCATTGGCTGGAGAAAAAAACTCTCCCAAGAACAGTTTTTAAAGGGAAGAAATTCAGTCGAACCCAAAGTATATCTAAATTATAAATAAAAACCAACACAAACCACATTGCAGCAATTAACGAGACAGGGCAGGATAAGGAATTGAAGACTTCAAAAGATAACGAAACACCCACAGTTGAGAGGACACCGGAACCCAGATAAGACTTGACAGACCAAAATAATTCATGCTTTGCTTCCAGCAAGGAGCTGTGCGCAAACACCCTCTTTATCCTGTTTTCCCAGCTGCAACTAATGAAGGGAATCAGGGACTTTTTCTCCCCCATAACCCACGTTGTTCCTTCTCCATTCCTCCCTGCGTGCCATACGATGAAGAGGGGGTAAGCCAGGGTCTTCCTCTGAATGCCCAGCTGGACTGTTCCCTTCCCCAGTTTCCTCCACAGCCACCGGAGCCACACTCCCACTCCCTGTCAGCTGTTCCACCTCTCCCTCGGAATCAGATTCCAACAGGGGCATGACACTACTGCATAGAATACAGGAATCCATCTGTGTAAAATGGAACCTACAGGCAGCCTTTGACTTACAATCATTTGTTAGTGACCATTCAGAATTAAAATGGCAATGAAAAAAGTGACACGACCATTTCCCACACTTTTATGACTGTTTCAACTGTTGCCCATCTCTGATACAGATTGGAAGACTGCACTTGTCACCGAAGCTTTGAACCTCCCTATGGATCCTCAGATCATTTTTGTTAAAACAAAAATGACTTGGGCATCACAGGTTCTTGATGCATGAGCTTCTTAAAAGCTAGGAAAAATAATGGAAGAACATTCTTAAGTTCCATCCGCACTAGGAAGAGTCCCAAAATCTGGAGTTCTTTTTTCTCCAAACTAAACCTCTTATTTGAACTGGGAACTCCTCTAATGCAAAACTCTCCCAGCCACCAATATGACAATCCATAAAGAAACAACTTACCAAGCCCGATGGCAACCCCAGTTAGCAATCCTAAGGAAATAGATATGTGCCAGTCAGATATTTGAATTTATATTGCTGCCCATTCGTCCATGGTGACTATATACATACATGGATATAGAAATGGATACGAATAAAAAAGAACATTAGGCAGGGACAGTAGGCACATTGGTGCGCTTATGCACGCCCCTTAACTCTGGTAAGAAAATACATTCTACAGCTAAGAACTTTTGACTGCTGACCCAATGCCTTGAAGTCCATCCAACCATTATCCCCAGAACTGAAGCTTCCAACCAGTAGTTTTCTAGCCAACCTAGGTGCAAAAGCTGAACGTATTTTCCCCAAGCCACCTGAGAACTACTGAATTCCCACATAATGCTTAAAAAGTTATATAAACCCAAAATAAATGGCTAAAACCTAAATTGCCCGGTACCTCATAGACCAGTAGTAGCAGTGGTAGGCTACTGGGTGGTCAGCAGGGTTCCCCCCCACTTGCATCCTCATCTAGAGTGCCCCATGGGCAGCCTCGCCACCAGCCGCTCCTAACGGGTGATCATGGCGAAGCGCAGAGAGCTCCCTACTCCCACCAAACACCTTTGCTGCAGACCCAAGACCTTTGGCACCCACTGCTGTTGCTTTCCCTTCTGCCCATTCTGCTGCCACGTTTGGAGCTGCCGCTTCCGTGTTTGGAGTGCCGCTGCCATTTGGAGTGCTGCCGCCATTTGGAACACCGCTGTCATATTTGGAGCTGCCACCGTGTTTGGAGTGGTGGCGGTGCTCCAAATGGCAGTGGTGCTCCAAACAGCGGCAGTGCTCCAAACGTGGAAGCGGCAGCTCCAAACGCAGCGGCAGCTCCAAATGCGGACATGGCAACTCCAAACAGCGGCAGTGCTCCAAACAGCGGTGGGGTTCCAAACGCGGAAGCGGCAGTTCCAAATGCGGTGGCAGCTCCAAATGCAGAAACGGCAGCTCCAAACAGCAGCAGTGCTCCACACAGCGGCAGCACTCCAAACGTGGAAGCAGCAGCTCCAAATGCGGTGGTGGCATTGGCAGAAGGGAAATCAACAGCGGCGGGCACTGAAGGTCTTGGGTCTGCCGCAAAGATGCTTGGCAGGAGTAGATGCTCTCTGCGCTCTGCCATGATCACCCATTAGGGGCAGGTGGTGGCGAGGAATTGTTGCCTGCGGGGCGCTCCTAACGGCAAGTCCCCCTGCCCTTCCCCCCATTTCGCATGTTTTAAAATAGGCATAAATTTGGGGGGGGAGGGGCTTAATTTCATTTTATGCCTAGAAAACATGCTGGGTCTTCCTATTGGGAGAGGTCGTATTGTTGGAGAAACACGGTACACAGACACACACACACACGCACACACACACACACACAGAGCTTCAAGTAAGAGACTTGTATTACCAGGGGAACTCAAGTTTAACACTTCCCAATGTTGTAAAGGAAAGACTGTATTTTTGGGAAACTGCTTCTGTCTGAGGTGGGAAAAAAATGAAATTTTGATTAATAGGATTTAGGTTGTTATAGAAATGGCTAGTTTATATTACTATGTAAAAGTAAACAGTTGAGGTTTGATATTATTATCTTATTCTACTGCATCAAAGGGAATCAGAAGCCAACACGCTTTCTTTCTCTTTTTCCAACATTTTCCCCTTCCCTTTTTCCTCCATGGTTGGGCAATGCTGACGTGTATACAATTGCCGTTCTCATTCCCTCTCCCTCCCTCTCTTTCTCTCTCTCTCACACACACTTCTTGCACTCAAACACTCCTACCTAGGATGCCTCTAATATGGTGTTAAAAATAGTATTTATCTCTTTTATATGGCCAAGTGAACCCAGCTGTTGTAACTCATATCATATATCATACAAGGTTGACAACATGTTTAGGACTAGAAAATTAATTAATTAAAAATTAAATCAATTGGTCTTATTTCTCACCCATTGTTGCTGTGAATGCACCTGTAAGTAAAAAACAGAAACTTTATTTATTTATTTATTTTGTCAAGTATGTATTAGATAACATGTATAAGTATAAACATGATTATGAGTACATGAAATGGATACAAATAAAAAGGAACATTAGGGCAGGGACGGTAGGCACATTGGTGCGCTTATGCACGCCCCTTAACTCTGGTAAGAAAATACATTCTACAGCTAAGAACTTCTGACTGCTGACCCAATGCCTTGAAGTCCATCCAACCATTATCCCCAGAACTGAAGTTTCCAACCAGTACTGTTTTCTAGCCAGCCCAGGTACCAAATCTGAACATATTTCCCCCAAGCCAACCGAGAACTACTGATATCCCACACTATGCTCAAAAAGTTCTGTAACCCAAAAGGAAATGATTAAAATCCAAACTACCTGGTACCTTGTAAACCAGTAGAGGAAACGAAATAAGGTTATTGTTATTAAATGAAGCTAGTATGCGGCCTCTTAAAGGACTCCCCAAAACTTTCCTGAGCTGGCTTTAAAAAAAGTCCACAGTGGGAGTGGCAAATGACAGATATCCAATATCATTGCAGATAGTTCTGCCTTCATTTCCATGATACACATTCCAGCTATTAAATATTGACCCAGTCCTTTATATCTTATTTTTAGGTTTCAGTTTCCCAAGCTGCATTTCCATTTCCCAGTGGAGGAAAAGAATGAAGGACCTCCCTGTGGGCTGATGGCAACCCAGGAAGCCCTTCCCAGCATTGCAATAATATTCGCATCCTGACAATTTGCTGACAATTCATCTTCATCTGTCACAGGGCTGTTTGGTTTATGTCATGCTGAACTGCAAAGCTGAGATAACAAGCAGGAAATAAACAGATCTGATTTTTAGGTTTCCTATGGTTTGTAAACCTTTTTAGATGTTCATACAGCAATTGGGTGAAGCTTACAATAAACAGAAACCTTATGTAAAATGCCAGTTGTGTGGGCACAATTCAGAAGGACAAATACAGTAGTGTATGGATCATTGTGCTGCACCACTAGCTGCCAAATGAGGACAATTGAGCCCAAAATTTATGTTGCTAAGTGAAACATTTGTCAAGTGAGTTTTGCCCCAGTTTCTTATTAAGCGAACCATTACAGTTGTTAAGTTAGTAACGTTGTTAAGTGAATCTGGATTCCCCATTGACTTTGCTTATCAGAAGGTCACAAAAGCTGATCACATGACCCAGGGACACTGCAACCATCGTAAATATGAGTTAGTTGCCAGTGTCTGAATTTTAATCATGTGACCATGAGAATGCTGCAACAGTTGTAAGTGTGAAAAATGGTCATAAGTCACTTTTTTCCAATGCTGTTGTAACTTTGAATGATCACTAAATGAACCTAACTCTTCTCTTCTCTTCTCTTCTCTTCTCTTCTCTTCTCTTCTCTTCTCTTCTCTTCTCTTCTCTTCT